GAGAAACACTAATACAGAGCCCAGAGAGAGAGAGAGAGAGAGAGAGAGAGAGAGAGAGAGTACCGGGAACCCCTTCCTAAACAAGAAACAAAGCGTAAGCCTCTACTCATGTCCAAGAGAAGCGGGAGGAGTGTTGACCGGGCGGTAGGAAAGCCTACCTACTCCTATTACATATAACACATACAAGAACGACAAAAACAGAGGGAAGGATAAGAGGGGGAGGTAATTGGCAAAGAGTCCTGGCTGACACTTAGATTTTACCCTTTCGCAACATTAAGTTTTAACTTAGTATAAGTCCCATTGTCCTATTCTAAAAAAGAAATTGAAGAAAATAAGGTTATCCGGATTTATTGATATGTCATAATAAATGCCCCAACATACGTGGCAGCGAGTGTTTGTCCGCTTTCTTCCTCGTGATAACAAGTGAATGTACGGCTTACCTAAAGTCCAAGCATCGACCTGGTGGGGGGATCAACGGCCAATCCTCCGCCCTCACCAAATAGTGGGCTTGGGAGACATGCTTTCAATAAAATTAAGAACAACAGGAGAAAGAACGGCGAAAACAATTCCAAGTTCAGACAATTTATCAAGCAAGAATAGTCGGCCAACTAGATCATGAGAATACTGACGAGACACTTTCGCATCTAGCCAAAGACATTCAATTTTCCCTTTTATCTTGTCCTGTTTAGTCTGATTGGCTCCGAACAGACTTGTGCGGTGAAGGGCAGGACTATTCAGGACAACCTTCATATGATCCGCTTGATCATAGAGAAAGTCGACAGTGAAGCCGCGCTGATCAATTTGGATCAGTCCAAGGCCCTTGATAGGGTTGAACATCGATTCCTGGAGGTAGTTCTTTCACTCCTGGACCCGTCTTCTGTATGCGACTCTCTGTGCGCTGGTGGAAGTGAATGGGGTAAGATCGGACCCTTTCGTATTGCCTCGATCTATTCGTCAAGGTTGTCCGCTTTCGCCTATGCTTTACGTTCTTGCGTTGGAACCTTTCCTTCGCAAGTTAAAGGCGAACTCGATCCTACGCGGAATTTCCCTACCTGGTGCTGACGACGTTTCGGTTCTTGTGTCGAGCAGAGCCGAGATTAACGAAGTCAGCAAAGAAATCAGTGGTTATGAGATAGTGAGGGGGGCCAAGATTAACCGTGATAAGTCTGTTGGCTTGCGGTTGGGTGCATGGAATGGAGTTTCTCTTCCCGGACCTTTCCACTGGACGGATGGGCCGGTCAAGATACTCGGCAACTGGTTCGGTCTTGATATCCAGTGGGAATGAATTGGTCGGAGATACAAGGAAAGGCCGAGATCACAATTAATTTGAGGTTTCGGAGGAATCTTTCCTTGAAGGGGACGGCGGAAGTATGTGTTTCACATATCTATCCGATTCTCCTTTACCAACTCTCGGCACTTCCACTTCCGTATGCCAAACTAATATAATTAGTAAGGCTCTTGTTCTCTTTCTTTTGGAGAGGCAAAGCCGCTAGGGTATCTCGGGAGATCTGTTGCCTTCATCCATCTGAAGGCAGTCTGGGTATGCCTAGCATTGAGATTCGATATTCCAAAATTCGCTTGAAAGTGAAACAGAACTAGTTCTTTTAATTTAATTTAATTTAATTAAATAATTAAATTTGAAGTTGTGAGTTTCTTTTTTGGCAATTCCTGTGTAGCGAAGGAACCATATTTTAAACCAGTTAATTTATATATATATATATATATATATATATATATATATATATATAAAAGTGACAGAAATTAAGGAGGATTCGAGATTTGCTTGAACCGGCTTCTAATGCTCTAGATGGAGGGGCTTGGCGATAGTAGTTGTGGCTCTCAGGGGCACAGGCCTATGAGTAAAAGGAACTTGAATGAGTTCCACCACGGAATATGTGAACGAGAGGTGCAATATCGAGTCTGATTCATTACCTCTTCGAGGCCAGTTGTTACAGTTGGTATGGCGTTTGCCTCATATCATTAAATGTTCGGGTTTCAATTCTCGGTAGTGCATACGCACTGCTGATGAGTCCCAAATATAGGAGGAAACGGTATATATATATATATATATATATATATATATATATATATATAATTAAATAATTCATAATTCGTATATATATTACATACACCTCTGAGGTCACGTGCCAAAATAAGAGGGCACGTTGCTTTTGGAGTGTGGGTGTGTGTGTGTGAGAGAGAGAGAGAAAGAGAGAGAGAGAGAGAGAGAGAGAGAGAGAGAGAAGAGACCAATCAAGCAAAATGATTATCAGGTTAATGGTTAAGATTCATCTTCTCCTGTCATACTACTAACATGTACCTCTGATGTCGTGTCCAACATAAGAAAAACTGCAGCGTTTCTACACACACATAGACACACACACACAAATATATATATATATATATATATATATATATATATATATATATATATATATATATATATATATATAATGTATATATATTTATGGGTAAATTTATGGGTAAATATAATGGATTA